CACACTGGACGAAGAAGTGAAGAAGAGTGCACGGAAAGACAAAAGATACTTCTACTAAACACTGGCAAGTGAAGCATAACAAGTTGCAGGTAAGAAAGACCTGACAACATTGTATCAAATAACCAGGTCACTTGCTGTCTGGGAAGAGATCAACACAGATGAAACCAATAAAAGATGAAGAAGGAAATTTAGTTACGAAAGAAGAGAAACAAAGGAAACGATGGGCCGACCACTTCAAGAAGCTCTTGAATCGACCACCACCACCATCTGCACTTCGTCCAGAAATACCACCTGCATCCCAGCCACAGAACTACAAGTCAACATAAATCCTCCAACAAAAATGGAAGTCCTGAACGCCATAAAGCTACTGAAATGTGGGAAAGCAGCAGGACCAGATGGGATCCCGTCAGAAGTACTGAGAGCAGTTGCAGAGACAACAGCAGCGGACATGCTCACACCACTATTGCAGAAGGTGTGGAAGGAAGAGAAGGTACGTGGCTAGTGATTGGAAGGGGGGTTACCTTGTCAAACTGCTGAAGAAGGGAGACCTCAGTGTTTGCAAGAACTGGCATGGAATCACGCTCCACTCCTGTCCACCCACAGCAAGCAAAATATTAAGCCGCATCATGCTTGAGAGATAAAAGGATGCACTGGATTCGAAACTACGACCGGAACAGGCTGGCTGGCTTCAGGAAGTACAAATCATGTGCCGACCAAATTGCAACGCTTCGCACCATCATGGAACAGAGTACAGAATGGCAGTCAACTCCACACCTCAACTTTATTGACTTTGAGAAGGCCTTTGACGGCGTCGACCGAGAGGTAATTTGGAAACTGCTTCAATACTACGGAGTACCGCAAACCTTTATCTGCCTCATTCAACAAATATGTGAAGACGCCACATGCCAGCCAAGTAATTCACAATGGGAAGCTCAGTGATGCTTTTGAGGTGGAGTGAAGACAGGAGTGAAACAAGGTTGCCTACTATCCCCCATGGTATTCCTGATTGTGGGGTCACAGGGGGAGAGGGAGAGGCTGAGAAAAACAAAGAGGTTTCACAGATTTGAATAGACGGAAAAGATGGAAGAGGAGGCAGAGGTCAAAAAGAGGAGAGACCCCACACTCCACAACAACAACAAACTCCAATTAGGATGAGGTGGAGAAACTTAAAGGAAGTAACCTCCTTCACTTATCTAGGAAGCACTGTTTCAACTACAGGGGGACAGACGAGGATGTCAAAGCCAGAATCGGAAAAGCAAGACAGGCTTTCATTAGCCTGAAACCAGTGTGGAGATCTTCTGCACTCAGCATGTGTAACAACATCCAGATTTTCAACAGCAATTCAGTCAAGTCAGTGCTTCTGCGTGATGGTTCAGAGACTTGGCGCGTTACGAAAGGGATTTCCAACAAACTACAGACATTCATCAACAACTGCTTACTCTCGCTACTGAAGATCAGATGGATTGCCAGAATGATAACCATAAGCAACAAGGAGCTCTGGGAACAAACCAACCAAGAACCTATCACTCAACAAATATGTAGAAGGAAGTGGAGATGGATTGGGCATACACTGAGAAAGCCGACTGAGGACATCACGCGTCAGGCCAGTTGCTCGAGTGGAATCCCCATGGGAAGCGACGAGTTGGGCGTTCGTGGTGGGGTTGACATGGAGGAGATCGTGCGAGGAGGAAATGAGAGCTTATGGGCTGTCGTGGAGCCAGGTTGAAAAGATTTCGGAGAACAGGAAGCATTGGAGACGTGCTACTGAAGCTCTATGTTCCTTTAGGAACCCAAGGGACTAATAATAATAATAATGTATTTATGAGTATAGTATCTGTTTTGTGTTGTCAAAGCATTTCATGCTTTGACAAGATTAACAAAAGATTATACCTACATTCACCTGTGAGTGGTGAATCATTGAAGATGGTTGAAAAGTTTTTTAATAATTGTTTAAATGCTGATCCAGAATTGAATGATGCCATTTCAAATCATGTATTGAAAAAACAGTGAAATAGGCTAACCTGGGTCATTTTTATTACCATTGTGAAGTTAATCTTGCTGTAGAAGATCATGATTCCCGAAAACGATCGGTGTTGTCTCGGTAGAACATAGCTGAAATACTATGCAAGCAGTTAGGAGTTGTAGTGATGTGTGTGTGTTTAAGTGTGATTGTAATCGTCATTCATTGACCTTTCTAGTCTTGAAACACCAGTTTCGATGGCTTGAAAGTGCGTTAAGAATGTCTTCTCAGCGGTTCCCATACGTATCACCATTTGCTTACCGTAGGACTAGTTGTAAAAAGTAGAAAGATGGTCAGTGTCATACAATGAAAGATAGTTGCGTTAGCATCTTTAGGGTACCTCATGACTTCTGGAATTGGGTTGAAAGATCATGCAAGTCTGTCTTGAGGATGGTAGGAGACGTGGCTCAAAATTGAAGTCATCAATAATCATGCTACAGTTTTCTTGTTACTTCTTTTACTGAAAATTAAACTGAAAGTAGTTGAATGCTTATTCAGATGTATCTTTGAGATTGCTTTTACTCATAACACTTCTCATTTGGAAGAACTAGTTTAGTGACGACCAATCACGTTCAAGCATTCACTGACCAATCAGAATCTAAAGTATGAAGGAAAACCTAATTATTAGGGAAAATCGTACTTTATAATCCATAAGTTTATTCTGTATGAGAAATAAAGATATCTATATTTTCAATAGGTTTATCATCTTTGAAACCATAATTTTATCTGTGTTCATACTCAGCCATATGACACTGTAACATTTCCCCGTCTGATCCCATTAACAGTCTTAAGAACTTTTGAAGATGACTCCAAAGTTGTTTATGTACAGCTCAGCTGTTCAGCCAACAAAGTTTTTCTTATGAACAATAGTTTGATGCGGTAACCCATTTCTGATAGACGTATATATGATTTCCAAGCATCTGTGCACATTGTAGTACCCAATACCATGCATTTTTCTACAACTGCTACGAAAGATTTTTCTGATATGTTCTCCTATCCAATGAAAATGTCACTTCTTGATATTTCGACTGTGTGTACCAATAATCTGTGATTTACAAAGACGTATGTATGTAAATTACCTAGTCCTATTTAGGTTGTCTTCGTCGATTATAGTTAAGTTTCCGAACAAGACATTCATATGTTTCAACCATACTGGCTATTCTACCAAATCAAACATCTAACTTGCAACATAATCTTTATCATAGTTTATCAAGTCTATGAAGCATGAACAATACGGTAAACGAAAGTAGATAGTGACCTTGAATAAGGCATTCATAATTTCATTGGTTGTTCTCAAGGTTTCTCGTTACTGAAGTTCAATTCGACCCTATTTTTCTGTTTTGTATATCACCATTTTTATTTCCTTAATATTGTAATATTATGTTGTCCTTTTCATGTATTGTCAATTTCGTGTTTGTTGTGATCGAGTGGTAGGGTTGCGCGCGTGGGTATAGTGATACTGAGACTTAATAGACAACTCAACCGGCACGCGACTGCAAGAACAGCGACAACAACCCTTATTCGACAAATGCATAACATATATGAAGTTACAAAACTCTCAGAAAGTGAAGCCACAAATGAACCAATCAGATTTCTTGTGTGAGGTCGAATTCCTCCAATCAGGTCCTCATATCAGCTCATGCATAAATCATAACCTGAACATGATCTGATCACGACTTGAAAACTCCCCTATTGGCTGCTTTTTTGTTGTATGAGTGTTTTAAATAAGAAACAAAATTCTAACCAAATTGTATATAGTCCGGTTTCCTTTGTATTGTCCACTTTAAAAAGTATGCTAAGGAAGTGTTCTGTTAATTAGTCGGAGACAATCTGTAGGAAGTCCTGAATTTGGGTTTCATGCTTGTTGGTATTCATTAGCAAGGCGTGTCTGAAACCTCGAAGGAAGTGATTTCTCATCTAAGAATTGAACTTGATATTACCATTCAATTCTGTCCTAATAAATGAGATTATCATTTTATCGTTCGTGAAAACTGTTGTATAACGAATATAAATCAAACATAATCGATAAAAAGGTTTATCTCTTCAACTTTTAACCTTAAATAAATATGGTTAGAATTAATTGGAACCTTAGTCAGGAGGGGGGTGGGTGTTATAAAAGCAGCATAGCATTTAACATCTTTGCTTATTGAACTTTCTTACATTGACGTGTACATCATTTACAAAAATGAGGAATTAGTTTTTCTCAATGAATATATTTTGTATAGAAGTAGTATTCATCATAGACTGACATTAGTTGAGGAACCATTGAAGATCTGGAAGCACTGCACAGCTGTTTCGTCCAACTAGTATGGGACTCCTCAGCAGTACGCACCCATGACCCGGCTAGGTATCGAACTCAGGACCTTCAGGTTTCACGGTGAACGCGTTAACCATTCAGCCAATGGGTCAGTTTCCAATGGTTCACAATTTCCAACTTCTGTCAATTCACAACATCGTGCGACTGTCACCCAAGGTCTTCAGTTAGCATCCACTTGACTTCCGACTAGTTGACCCCACATGTCACGGCTTCCCATTAGAACTTCCTAACATCCATCTGAAAGCAAGTCACTAATCAGCACTATAGAGTAATGTATTTTTGAGATTTTCAATGGTTCCCAAACTGATATCAGTCCATGATGAATACTACTTCTAAATTAAAAATCCCCATTCATCTCAAAAATACAATATATTTCGTATTATTTTTTTTCAACATATCTAACCAGCATCTTTTTCGATAATAAAAACCTCATGTTTTAATGATGGATAGTGGCTAGCAGTGGAATCCAGAATGCTCATTTCTATTATTACTATCATAAGAGCACAGGTATAATATCGAGGTATCCGCACAGGATCCTATATATGCTAATAGAGACCGATCAATTCGGTCCAATCAACGTCTGTACGATATAAAGAATAATTATATATACTAACCTCATGTTTTATTTTCTGTATACCTTTTCAGCTATCTAGGTTTTGTGTAATGAGTAAATCACCGAACTGGAGAAATTGTCCATTGAATTTAACCATTCTCACTTTACCACAATATGATTCATTATTGTTATTTAAAGAAGTCACTTGGGAATCTGCACGTATTGTTGCAGATGGTCTATTGACAGAATTACGTGGTACACCGGTCAAATTGATTACAAATCAATCTCGTATACGTCTTACAATGAAAAAACGATTATCTGGTAAGTTGTATACATATATTTCTAGCTATTATTATTATTACTTTTAAAGTAATGACATATATTTTACTCCTAAGAGAATATATGTTCTATTGTGACATCAACGAGAAGGACTCTTTTCGACGAATTAATTCCCAAGTTGTACAGTGGAATCCATGATGCGCATTTAATCCTATTTGGGACTTGTCATCTGGATATACTTACCTCCCAGTGAGTGATGTTGTTCCCACCGGGACTTGGACTCGGGACCGATCGCTTCAAACGCTGTTATCCTCTACACCACCAAGCTATGATAGCCGCTTCTTATGCGACGGGTATAGTTTTAGTATTATACCATCGGAGGCAGGTACATCCAGCTGACGAGTTCCAAACAGGATGAAATACATATCCTGGATTCCTCTGTTATCCACTATCCATCATTATCATATTTAGAACACAGGTAATACCGAGGCATCCGCACAGGAGCCCATATACCAATAGAGACTGATCAATTCGGTCCAATGAACGACGATATAATACAATCAATTATGCTGAAATTATAGTTATTTCATACAATTAGTTCCCTTCATAAATTTTTGTCAAGCAAGAAGAACAAACATTGTGCAAGGAGTCGAATTCATATTTCATGTTCTCTAAATCTTCCACGTATACACTAAATTCGAAGATTGTTTACAGTAAAACATATTTGTCGCTCGAATCGGGGAGAAGAAATGACGTCAGTTAGGGAAAGCCTTCGGAAGCCAGTCGGCCGATGTGTCTTCTCTCGATGAAAGTGAAAGTAAAGATGGGATGGATAATCCAAGACACACGTTTCGTCCTACTCAGGACTCGTTGACTAGGTGTACCTATCTGCCAGTAGGTAATTTTGTTCCCAGTAAGACTCGAACACAAGATCAATCACTTCAAACGCTAGACGGTTATCCACTAGGCCACCGAGTCATATGCGACGGGTATAGTATAAACTTTGATGTTATAGCTTGTACATCTCCATTGGATGGGCATCCTAGATTCCACTCCTGGCTACTATTCATTGATGAAAGTATTGTTTCATGTCAGTTTGGGACTTCTCTGAAATGTCTACTAGTATGCATCACTAACTCACTTTGTTCAGGCATTTCTCGAAGGTTGTTTGCGAAACTACTAGTAGTCAATCAAGTTCAATGTAAAGAAAATAACTGATCATACTGTATATGACTTGCAGTATCTCAGGGATTCACAAAAGTTGAAATATTAACCTAATTGGATTGTAACCCAATGGTTGAGTGATAAAGCATTCACTTCGATACTGGATGATCTTCAATTCAACCCTCGAATAGCGTAGCACATGTGGATGTTTTGCAAGGCAAAAATAACAAACATTGTACAAGGAATCGAATTCATATTTCATCCACATATACTTTAAATTGGAAGATTATGCACATTGAGCTATCAGTGTCTAGCATAAGTCATTTCCTATATTTCAATAGTAAAATCAACACCAAATGCGTCTTTTATACCTAAACATGGATGGGAATAAAGCTGAATAACAAAATTGACGATCTAATTAACGAATACTGAAAACAAGTAACAATAAATTATACTATAAAATCGATCAGATAACAATACGACATGATGGTAATATACACATATGATTGCGCCTCAAAGTGGTAAACATTTTAATGAAAGAGGGAGGGAAACAACAAAGATGGTGTACGAAACTGTATGAATTAGTGGTAGAGGAATGGAAAAGGATATGGTAACAACTATGATTAAGATATAACGGGTTATAGTAAACCAGAAATGATGAGAATATATATGAATGGTGTATATACAAGACAATAAGATGAAAGAATGAAATAGTAAATAAAGTTATAGGCAAAGAACAATTCACCAAGGCAATGCAAGGTGAACGATAAACTCCTTTTTTTATATGTAAGTTTGATTTCAATCGACGAATTGTAGCTGCTTCTGTATAACATAGTAGTCTATTGATTACCTTGAAATATATGCTTAAGTCAATGGCTTTGACCTGTATAGAGGACGTGTTTAGCAATGCGACTGCTTGGTAGCCTTCCACCTTTCATAGATAGGCTTTTCGGTACATGTTCAGAGATTTATTTTGTAACGAAGGACCCTCTCTGTTCTCTTCTGCAGGTACAGGTGAATGAATAGATACAATCGGAGGTAATATGACGAGGTCTCACATCTAAAATTACTTTCTCTTACCATGTTCTTCTTGTCATAGACAATTAATAATTTCGCCAGTCGATAGGTTAGTGCAATACAAGCATCCAGTTGGCGGTTATTTTGTGAACTCACTTCATCACCATTGAATGGTAGTCTACTGAACACGTTCCTTTTTGGCACGGTTGTACCATTCAATTTCTCATTTTTAGGTTTGAAGGATTTATAGATGAGTTATAACCTTGCCTGGTTAACTAGTTCATTAGTTACTAGCCCTTCCTAAGCCCAGATAAAGAAGAAAGGTTGGGCACAGAGCTAGCAACCCTACCCACTAAAACCAATCCAATCGCTACAGAAACTTCAAAGCACAGACAAAATATAAGAAATAAAAGCAAACATATTCCTCGCTGGAATCGGAGAGAAGAAATGACGCCGGTTGGTGAAAGCCTTCAGGAAGCCAATTGGCCGATGTTTCTTCTCTTCTCTCGATGAAAGTGAAAGTAAGGATGGGGACGTGGAATGTCCGCACCATGTACGAACCTAGCAAGGCTGCCCAGATTGCAAAGGAGATGAGAAGGTATGGCATAGAAGTGCTAGGAATCTGCTGGGAATCAGCAGATGGAATGGGAGTGGACTCTCCAAAATGTCAACTGGAGAATCAATAATCTACTCCGATACTGTCACCCAGACGACAACCACGAGCACATTGAGTATTGGAGTGGCTATCATGATGTCCCCTTGAAGAGCATCGAAGGCTCTCATACAGTGGGAACTAACCTCTTCCAGGATCATAACAGCAAGAGGTTCAACTCAAAATGAGGGAAAGTCACAATCATACACTGCTATGCACCTACAAATAATGCAGATGAAGAGAAGAATGAGGAATTCTACAGACAACTGCAATCAACACTGGACAAGACACCACCTCAGTTGGCGATATCAAAATTCTAATGGGTGGTGTGACATGAATGCCAAAGTGGAAGGGGACAACACAGGACGAGAAACAATCATGGGTCGAGAAGCGCTAGGTGTGGTGATGAACGAGAATGGAGAAGTGTTTGAAGACTTCTGCGCATTCAACGATTTGTTGATTGGAAGCAATGTGTTTAAGCACAAGGATATCCACAAAGAGACATGGATTTCATCAAATGGACACCTATCGCTCAACAAATATGCAGAAGGAAGTGGAAATGGATTGGGCAGGCACTAAGAAGACCATTCGGGGACATCACGCACCAGGCACCCTAGTGAAACCCAGATGGGAAACGACAAGTTCTGTGTAGTATCGAATCATCTTCATTTCTCTTTACTACTCAAATGCAAGAAATTTATTCCATCTAACGGTTCATGTTCACATTTGAATGAACTGAATTATAAGATCTAAGTAGGTTCCTCGCGTGGATTTCACTCTCATACATGATGAAAATATCATTTACACATGTCAAATACAATTTTGTCTATTTTATGGCATGGTATTCTCTAAGTGGTCTAGCAATATGTTTGAAAATATGAGACCTAGATGACTGGCCATAGCCACACCTTCTGTATGTATGTAACTATGATTATTATTTTCCCTTGGGTTCCTAATGGAACATAGGGCTTCAGTAGCACGCCTCCATTGCACTCTGTTCTCTGCAGTCTTTTGAACCTGGTTCAACGACTTCCCAGAAACTTTCATTTCTTCCTCATACGATCTCCTCCGAATCACCCTAAGAGGCACAACTAGTCGTTTCTCGTTTGGGTTTTACTCGACGGCCTAGCCTGTCGCTTGATGTCCCCAGTCGGCCTCCTCAGTGTATGCCTAATCCTACTCCAGTTTCTGCTCCCACAGTTTCTCTGTAATACGAATCATTAAAATGGAATTGAACATTTTTTTGTTCAGAACGTCAGTAAATCTCTTAATCTGTTAGATGGAAAGTCTACCATCCTGGCGTGACTACATATGACATAAATTATTCCTTTAAGTGGCACATTCAGGAATAATGATTCAACATCAAAAGAAACCATGTGATTTTTATTTATGTTAATATCATGAATCCTACTTACATACTAAAAACTATCCTTCAAAGTGTGGACAAACTAGCTCATTCTTGATAGGCTCAACTAATTGTACAAACCATCAGGCAAGTTCATGGTATTGCGATTATACAATTAATATGAATGATACTGAATGATTATTGAAAGTGGAAAGGAAATCTGAGCCGCTAGAGGATTCAAACTAGCAACCGCGGGTTTTTGACCCGATGCTCTACCCACTGAGTTCTGAGGTCCAGCTTCTCAGCGCATTTATGTTTTACTTCAATATTCACTAAGGATTTTGGTCGACTGTCATGTGAGTTCGTGACACGTTATTATCCCTTAGTTGTACTCACACTGGTTGCCTAATCAGGACTTCTCATCCAAATCTACTTGGATTAGAGACACGGAATAACATAATGACTATCAGTTTGGTTATCTTAGCTATGTTTTGCTTAGACATATCGATTGATGAGGATGTAAACATTGGTCGACTGAGATGGCTTGAATATGTACTGCGCATGACAAACCATCACCTACCTCTGCGTTACCATACTAAGGGAGGTTAGATTAGGTTGGAAGGTAGTCCAGGGTGACGAGACTGTGACGTGGCACCAGTCGACGAAGTCCCTGACTTCTCCCTAATTGAATACAGGTTTATTTGCCTGTGTATGAGCTTCCCTAATTGTGTGAGGGCTCACACCGAAGTCGGTAGAGCTCCTACTGTGAACTATTCGGTCCAAAGTCCATTACATAATTCAGTGAACTGCATCTTTATCAATGTAAGTCATTCAACAGGCATGAGTTTTTGTCCTAGGGTATCATCCATATTTATCACTCTGTTCAACCGTATAGTTGTGAAACATGATGA